AGCGGTTCACGTCCTGGCTCCTGCCTGTGCCTCTCCTCTTCCCCCTCAGTGCTACGAGACATCAGTGAGCGAGGCAGGGACCTCGAGCAGATCTTGTCTCAGTACATCACCTTCGTCAAGCCTGCCTTTGAGGAGTTCTGCTTGCCAGTAAGTACACGGGGAGGGACACGCATCGGAGTCTGCCAAAAATGCCTCACCGCCCGCCCACCCCCTCAGCCAGGAGCTTTTTGTGCCCTGGAGCTCAGGCCACCGTGCCGGCAGAGCGGAAAGGTGGGGGTGTCGGTGCTGGCCGGCGCAGGGCGCGATGGAGACTGCTTATATGGCTGCTGCCTTCCTGGTGAGATCACCGTCCCCCGCGAGGAGGCAGCCGCGGCAAGAGAGACCCTTCCCTGCGTGGGCTGTGCCAAACCGGCACCAGGCAGCTCAGCAGATGCCAGACCAGCAGGGATGATCTCTGGCCGCATCCAGGTGGGAAGAGGAGGTCTAGGAGCAAGGAGATCCGGCTCCGTCTAGCTAGAGAAGTGCCCGCCACGCCTGCGTTGTGTTTCGGGCTGTGCTGCCTGCCCTTTTTGCCCTATGGTGCTGCTGGCTGCACGCTTGGAAGAGCAGGGAAGCTTTTTCCGTTGTGCTATGCTGCAGGATATGGCCTTGCAGGTCCTGTTTCCCGGCTGACCAAGGTGAAGAGTTGACAGAGACCTTGCTGAAGGTCAGGGTCGTGAGGTCTGCCTGGAGAAAGGAAGCCACTTTGGGAGCTGCTAGCTGAAGCGAGGGTGGGAGGCAAGGGCCCCTAGCAGACAGGGACTTTGCACGTAAGAGACCGCTGCAGCCCCGGGGAACTCGCAGGTGCAAGGGCAAGTTTGCACGACTAGCCGTTGCACGCTTTTCCTGGCTGCTGCTGCTGCCCTCATGGAGGGGAGGCTGCACTTTGGCTTTTGAGGCTTTTCAAGCAGGTGTGGTAGTTCCTTGGGGAATTTCTTCTTATCCTGGAGAGGCTGAGCCAGCGGAGCCCTGCAGCTGGGGGAGTGCTAGCCAGCAGCACGAGCAGGAACTGAACCTGCGCCTCCAGCATCAGGTCTTGCCCATGGAGGCATCTCTGTGGCTGGCTCTGTCCTTTCCCAGAGGAAGGGTTGATCCTTTCTGTGTTAAGAGATCTGTTTCTGGTGGACCCCAGAAGGGGCCTGGACTCCTGGGCAGCACCTTCTTCCCTGACTCATGCAGAGGTAGCTCTGGGAACTGAGGTCCAATTTTAGTGTCAGGCCTAGTAAGGCTTTTCCTGGGAAGGAGATCCAGCTTGGTGCCTCCTCCTTGAGTCCTCAGCCAGGTGTACCTGCAGCTTCACAAAACAGTGGATGTGGTGTCAGTCTCTCATCCCCCTACAGACTCTTCAGCAGAAAAAGTGAAACAAGGAGGGGAAAAAACAACTGCTTCATCCCTATCCACCAGCTCTGCAGTGGTCTGCTCCCACCTCCAAGCTGGTGGTGGGCCAGGCCACACAGCAATTGCACACGGGTGCAGAGCAGGCTCAGCGTCCGCAGTTCCTGTTAGCCTGCTCCTAACCAGCTCTGGACCAGGCTGCCCAGCACTGAAATGGTCCACAGTGTCCTGGGGGTTTTTGATGTGGCTGGAAGCGCCTGGAGGTGTCAGATGACAGCTCTGGCCCAGCATGCTGGCTCGCTTGCTCGGGCTGCAGCGTGGCTGTCAGGAAGTTCATCGGCTGTAAAAGCAAGCGTGAATAGGGGAGGAAACTGCAACTGGCATCTGCAGGTGAAAATAGACCAGGACTGGCATCCTGAAGGGGATCTTTTTTGCTGGTGCTGCTGGCAGAAAATCCCCCCCATCCCATGCAGATCGCATGTCCACGCAGCCCGGGCATGCCAGGCCTTGTTTGTGAACCAGTCGTGCTGGATTCAGAGAGGAGGTTGTTTCCAAAAACCACTGCTCCTGGACTCTTGTGTTCATGAGGCTTTTTAATTTCAGGTTTTATTAGGGTGATCTGTCCCTTACTGGAATTTGTTTGAGCTCATGGAAATAGAGTCAAGGCACAAAGCACAGCCCTTAAAATGCAGAGCAGAGGGCAAATAAGAGCATCCAAAATGTAGCCTTAGCAATAACGTACCTCTCGGTGGGTTTGGGCTTGACAAGGGGAGGAGAAGGACAGCCCTGGGAAGCGGGGACAATGCCCGAGCATGGCAGCTCTCCGCTTTCCCTGTAACGCAGCTCTCTCTTTCCTCCCAGACCAAGAAGTATGCTGATGTGATCATTCCCAGAGGAGCAGATAATGAAGGTGAGCGGACCCAGGCCCTGCCGTTACATCCT